ACCGTGTATGTTTTGAGGTTGAGATGGTGTGAATAGTTGGCACATTTGATCTGTGTATGCTGATTATATGTCCAATGTGTAATGTGTAGCTGGAATACCTTGAAGAGAGGAGGATCAAGGACCTCGTGAAGAAGCACTCAGAGTTTATCAGCTACCCAATCTACCTCTGGACTGAGAAGACCACCGAGAAAGAAATCAGTGACGACGATGATGACGAGCCAAAGAAGGAAGAGGAAGGGGACATTGAGGAGGTCAATGAGGAGAAAGAGAAAGATAAAGGCAAGAAAAAGAAGATCAAGGAAGTCTCCCATGAGTGGGAACTCATCAACAAGCAGAAACCCATATGGCTCCGCAAACCTGAAGAGATTACCAAAGAGGAGTATGCTGCCTTCTACAAGAGCCTGACCAACGACTGGGAGGAGCACCTTGCTGTCAAACACTTCTCAGTCGAAGGCCAGCTTGAGTTTAAGGCCATTCTCTTTGTTCCCAAGCGAGCCCCGTTTGACCTGTTCGACACCCGTAAGAAGATGAACAACATAAAGCTTTATGTAAGACGGGTCTTCATCATGGACAACTGTGAGGAGCTCATTCCTGAGTACCTCGGGTTTGTAAAAGGTGTTGTTGATTCAGATGACTTGCCGCTCAACATATCCCGTGAGATGCTGCAGCAGAACAAGATACTGAAGGTCATCAGGAAGAACCTTGTCAAGAAGTGCATCGAGATGTTCAATGAGATAGCAGAGAACAAAGAGGATTACAACAAGTTTTACGAGGCCTTCTCCAAGAACTTGAAGCTGGGCATCCATGAGGACAGCCAGAACAGGGCCAAACTGGCCGACTTGCTCCGGTACCACTCGACCAAGAGCGGTGACGAGTTGACCAGTTTGAAAGATTATGTCACTCGCATGAGGGAGGGCCAGAAGGACATTTACTACATAACAGGCGAAAGCAAGAAGGCTGTAGAAAACTCCCCTTTCCTTGAAAAACTCAAGAAGAGGGGCTATGAAGTACTTTTCATGGTGGATGCCATTGATGAGTATGCGGTTGGACAGCTCAAGGAATACGATGGGAAGAAATTGGTCTCGGCCACTAAAGAAGGCCTGAAGCTCGATGATGAAACCGAGGAGGAGAAGAAGAAAAAAGAGGAGAAGAAAAAGTCATTCGAGAGCCTCTGCAAGGTCATAAAGGATATTCTCGGCGACAAAGTCGAGAAGGTTGTGGTCTCGGACAGAATTGTCGACTCCCCTTGCTGTCTTGTCACGGGTGAATATGGCTGGACGGCTAACATGGAGAGGATCATGAAGGCCCAGGCATTGAGGGACAGCAGCATGAGCTCCTACATGTCGAGTAAGAAGACTATGGAAATCAATCCGGATAATGGGATCATGGAGGAGCTGAGGAAAAGGGCTGAGGTGGACAAGAATGACAAATCTGTCAAGGATCTTGTGCTTTTGCTGTTCGAGACTGCTCTGTTGACTTCTGGGTTCAGTCTGGATGACCCGAACACTTTTGCAGCAAGGATTCATAGGATGTTGAAGCTTGGGCTGAGCATTGACGAGGAAGAAGGTGGTGATGGGGATGATATGCCGGCTCTGGAGGAGGAAGCTAATGAGGAGAGCAAGATGGAGGAAGTTGATTAAGGGTGGTTCCGGTCAATGTGCTCTTCTACGTGGTTTTTGAGGTTTGGAAACACCAGGGATCTGTGGGTTTTTGGTTCTTTTTGGTTGTTACATAGGTGGGCATGTTGTGCAGCTGAGTGTCTTGTGTGTTCTGTCAAGTGTTTGTTTTTCTTCCTTCCTTTTCTTTTTAACCTTTCCTGTGTGTCTTTGTTCCTTTTTTAATGTTTTTCTTTGGGTTGGTTGATAGTATGTGTATCAGTCTGTTTCTGATGTAACCTGGATAAATTTCAGATAGTGTTGCCCACCTTCCCTAAGCTGTGTTTCATGGATATATTTGTATTGCATCTCTAGTTTTACTCATCTTTGAAGGGTTAAGGGAAGAATATAGACTAGAAAGTTAGCTATAGTGGTTACATATTAAATAGAAAGTTGAAATAATCATCCGAGGCAGAACGACTTAAATCAAGGCTAGAATTTTAACACCAGGTAAGCCACTGGTCATCAGAGGGAGTATGATATGAATTATAAATAAAGAAATGTTGATTGAATTATAACACCAGGTTAGCCACTGGTCATCAGAGGGAGAATGAATTATAAATAAGTAAAGACATTGATCATTCAAAGGGAGAATGAATAGAGCTAGAATTATAACATCAAGTAGAACATTAAAATAGTTATTTAGATGATAATAAATTTTGAGGGATGGGATGAATAAACATATTAAAGCAAATGGTGGCAAGGGAACCTAACAGGAATTAACCTAGTACAAAGGAACTGTTCCATAACTATGCAACAATAATTTCCATAAAAATAGAGAAATATTGTGACTGTTAGAATTTAGAATTTTTGTTAAAATTAATTAGTTGAGCAAACCAGAGACTAATAATCAGAGATGGGTGAAATACTGTATCCTGATAAATGCTCAGGCACGACACAAAGCATAATCATCCAGGTAACATTTCTCACAAGCTCCATAAGCCAGTATACATAGCCTATTAATAGAAGAATATAATTCGCATTCAAGAGTAGCATTCAAGAGAGCTCCCAATCGAAATGAATGAGAAAATTTCCGTCTGAAGTAAAGAAAAATGAAGATTGACAAAGTACAATACGTCATTTCAACCGAAATTAACATTCCACAAAAGTTCGTCATAGACTCATAAGTAACTCCCAGAGAAACTACATAGCAATGAAGATGACAAAAAAACAAAATTAACTAGGAGGTGCTCCACCAAAGCTGCCCGAACCACGGCCAAAACCACCTCGCCCGGAGCCCTACTCATTCAGAAAAGTCATCACCATGATTAGATGCGAGTATAACGTATCTTCAATAACACAAGTTCTGTTTTTCACCCCAATCCAAGGGGAAGTAAATTCTAAAGAAGAATTATCAAATAAATCCTTACACTTTTTGTTAAGGAAAACTCAATAGAAAGAGCTGATATCACAAAAAGAATCTGATAAAAAATGCTACTAGATGTATTCAATCCACGACTGTGTTTGGAGAATTCAACTATAACATAGTTGATGGAGTAGGGAAACTGGAAAGAAATCGTCACCTCCATCTTTAGCGGTAAATAACAATCAACAATGTTAGGTCAGCTTAAACTGAAAATTGTAAATTCTAGGTAATAATAAATGTCAAATATACCTCAAACCAGATTGATCATGCTCATTTCTCAATCAAAAACCAAATAAACATTCTGCTACATTATGCAGAAGTTCCAGTACCGACTGAGAAAAAATATTACGAACTTATTGCTACAAAAGAAGATCAGTAAAATGAAATTACCCTGAAGGCAGGTTGGTAATCAGCAGGTGCACCTGATTCACCTTTCTCACCACCAAATTCACCTGCAGGTCCTCTTGGCCCTCCACGGTATCCATCCCGATCACCAAATCGTGGCCTGTCACCCTCAAATCTAGGAGGTCCGCTGTCATGACAAGATATAAGAAAATATACAAAATATCAAATGTGTACAAAACATCCCTACAAAACCCCCCAACACATATAATAAAACAAAACCCAACTGAACTATAAAAAGAGCCAAAACCCTAAACTAGAAATAACTAACAGCAGGCACTTTTCATCCATTAAAACCAAATGAAACATAAGAATTTGAGCTCGACAATCACAGCTAATAACACAAAACCTGTAGCAAACATCCACATTTCCATACATCTTTCCCACCAAACAAAAAGTGGTCAAACTAAAACCAATTGAAATTGCAAACTGCATGAAATGCTCTAAACATTTACCGGGGTCGGTCACCAGGGGGGCCACCCATAGGACGGCCTAGCGGCTTGGAAGACTTCTTCAGAGTGGCAGGGACAATCTCGGATGGCAGGTTGAGGTAGGTTCGAAGGAACTCGATACCATCATTCGTAAGGTACCAGTAATAGTGCATCCAAGCAAAGGTCTCGCGCACATACTCCTTGGATTTGAAGCTCTGCATGAGCTTGATAACCTGGAGGTTAGGCACGTCGATCTCGGGGTGCTTAGGCAGATTGTAATCTTTCTTCGCATAGCACACGCCCTCTGTTACACACACAGACGAACCCACAGTCAAGCTTGTCAGAGACTAGTGTCCAGTTAAATAGATAGCAAATGAAAAAAAAAGATACGATAACTGTATTCTTACCCTGAAAGAGGTATTTGGAGATCTCTCTCCTGTTCTTCTCAGGGATGATCTGAAAATAAAATTATCCAGACATTTAGCAGATTAAAGCCTCTTTTTATTTATTTTTGATAAAAAACAATGGAGATCAATTATATATATCTCGAAATGAGCAAAACAATCTACACAAGTCTGGTTCAAATCGCATTCTAAATCGAAATGAATCGGTGACAAAGTCAACAATAAGCGTTCGCTAGCTAGAGAGAGTAAGAGAGAGGTACCATGGCTGCTGAGAGATTGGAGCTTGAGATTGGGGAAGATGGGAAAACTTGAACGAACAAGACGCAGCAGCTCTGTGAGTGAAGGAAGAAACCCTAATTCATGGTTTAGGGTTTTTAACTAATAGTATGGGCTGGGTCGATTTCTTGGGCCTGACTGGGTAATATGTATAGAGTTGGGTTACTTGGGTATTTGACGGGGGATAGAGAATAATAGCCCGACTTGTATTTGTCGGATTATGACGGAATAGTAGGGCACGGACCACGCACGTGACTATTTGGGATTTTATTTGCTAAGTTGTGCCAATTGTCTGATAACTTATGCTGAATGTTTTTGATCCGACATGTAGGAAAAAAAAAAAATGTTGTGCTAACAAGCTTGAATAGAAAGAAACAAGTCCTTATCCGTAATGATTTCTATTATTATAATAAAATAATAAAACAAAAAAATTCTAGCTTTACACATAACAAATAAACATTATATCTTTGAGCTTAATTCGTTAACTAGACGAGATCAAGTTTGATGCGCTTATCAATATTAGCGAGTTAAAATTCAATCTTTAACGAGTTTATCTGTTAAAAATTATATTGAATCTATATTTTAAGTTATAATGAGCTCAATTATAGAAAATTAAATTACATTCATATTTTCGAGTCTTATTTAACGGAGCTTAGTCGACTTAAATCAAACTTACGACTAACTCTTTTCAGTATCAGCTAGACATGATTTTTTAAAAAAAAAGAAGGTTAACAACATAAATGATTAAAACACCAATTAACTCGAAGCAAATCATTTGCAAATGTTGATAGCAAGTAATACACCTGGAGCAATGCAGTAAAAATTTTATTATCTGAAAGTTAATTTTTCTGTTTTTGTCATGGTTATTAATGCAGTTACTTTGCTACGCCATTCAACAGATACTTTTTTTTGCTTTCACATTGGAGAGAGCACATAGCATGCATTTTTCCCTTTGTTTTTTCCCCCCTCTCTGTTTCCTCCTCACTGAGCTGCCAGCTTTCCGTTTTCAGCCATGGTACTCTCCATCTCCTCCGCAGCCTTTTCTCTCTCCTCTCTCCGAAAATAAGAACAAGAGCAACTCTACGGTTCTCGCTCTCACCGCGTTTCACGAGATGAGTTTTCCCATCAAAGTTGGGTTTTAGTTTTAACTTCGCGTTCAGCTTCTAATCCTGATTTTTCGTGAATAGTTTCGGTAGCTAGGGTTTAATATCTGCGCATTTTGTTTTTCGTGAAGCAGAATGATGATGAGCGGCGTGTAATGGTTGGAGAAGTTGAGCGGCGGAGCTTGGAGGAGAAGCTGGAATTGGAAGGAGCGGAAGACGAGTTGCCTGAGTAAGTTTACGAATTTTGTTTGTTGTTTTTGGTTCGATTTTGTTGTTTCGTGGTGTTTAAATGTAGATGTTGTCATGTTTGTCTGTTTTATCAGCTTGTAAAAAACAAGTGTTGTTGATAATCATTTTGTTGAAACTGTTTTCATTCTTTAGTAAGGAATTTGTTTTGCTGTTTCATCAGCAGACGTGGAAATGGATCGAAGATTGCTTACACCAGAGCTTTGCTTCTGGAATTTACTGAAGCCGAGGCTTGTCGCGAACTACCTGGAGATTTCGACCTGTTAATTCTGAGGTATCAATTCTACATTGAAAAGATTCTAGAGTTGCTACCATCCTGAATCGTGCGTATCATTATTGATCGTTAGGCATTTAACCTATAAATTTATTTACATAGCATTGAACGTTATTTTTTGAACTTGATATGAGCTTATGTGAATTTCTTTACGACTATCACCCAGTTTGTTATATTTTTAATCGATTTTCATTTAAGTTCACTATGATTTGGTTGATAATTACCATAGAGATTGTACTGAGATAGTGTAATTTGTCATAAATTATTCTGTGGATTTGAGTTGGTGACCTCGCAAATCAGTGAACTTAATGGAGGAGCTGGTAGTGCGTTGGAAAGCAAAAGGATTACAGGCAATTCATCTCTTTTGGGCACATCGCCGTATACAGGCTTACAACACAGGGCAAGATGGAACAACTATTTGGTGATGCCAATTAAGGAGAGTCATTGTCAAGGAAATTGGGGTTCAGGTAGAAGGGTCTGCTTCTGTGTGTTTGTGTGTGTATGATTTAGTTATATATCAATTAGCGGGAATCATTTTGCAGTTCATCTAGCTAAAATTTACAGTTCAGGTGTTTTCGTAAAAACTCCACGAATTCATCGAGTTTCATGACTTCATAGTAACAAATGTTCAAATTTCAATGCAGAAGAAAGTACTGTTGTGTGGCAGCATTTACCTCAGGAATGTAGGAACAATCCTGTGGTTAATGATCAAAAGACCCCAGATAGTGGTTCCTTCCAACTAAAAAAGAGTAAAAACCCATATCGTCCTCCACATTGTAGCAAAGTAAGTTTCGGAACTTCCTGACATGCTAATTATTACTGATGCATGCTGAGTGTTCACCAATTAGCCACATTTAAGCTTTATCTTGCAATTAACTGAAAGAGAGTTGATTTGTAACCATAACCTTGGGGGATATTCTCCAGTGCAGTAAGTGTCATCACAAAATGTTTCCTTTGGCTCTGAGATATGAAATTAACAACGGCATAGTCTTTTCAAATCTTGTAGAGCTGAAGTCCGAGAAAGGAGATTTATAAATTTCTCTTACAGTTAGTGGCAGCACATTTTTTATTCAAAAGGACAAGGCTGGAACAAATTAATTTTCTTTCAATAATAATAACTTTAGCTTTCATGGCATTACTCATATGGTATTGTTGTCTGAAAGTTGCGATCAACTAATGCAAAGCTTTCCGAATCAGTAGAGATGGTGCCAGTTAAGGTACTTTATACTGCTTAACGAAGCCATTCGTCTTGCAAATAGCTTCTATATCCCTCTGTAGAAACTTGTGCTATACTGTGACTACTGTTGTTATTTATTATATGTTCTACTTCATAAAAAATATCAAGTTTTCTAGTTGTGGTATCAAGTAGAAGGAAAATGGCTCTGAAAAGCACAATGAAAATGCATCATATTACAATAATTAAGGCCTTCAATTGTTTGTTTCACAAAAATATCCCAAGTGATCAGGCCTAACAGAATATGCATCTTCAATATAGAAAACCCCTCGGCCCTTGGATTCTTCTTCTCAAGTTGGAGTCGAATCCTCTGAGAGTTCTTCATTTTCAGCAGAAGCATCTTATAGACAAAGTTCGACAGATAGCGTCACAGGGAATGAAGTCGTTTCTCCTCATGAAAGACTTGATGACTCGATAAAACAACTTCATGAATGTGAATCCTCTTCTAATAAGAATAAAGAAGTAAGTGAGGCATACAGTGCCTATGACAAGCTTGAGTTGCAGATAATAGACGATAGCCAGCCCACATTCGAAGAATTTTGGGCCGACATATTAGAAAGCCTCCAGCTGCAGCAAGAGGCAGGGCTCAGACCTACACCAACCCCTGATTCAGATAATGTGGTCTGTTTTCCTGACAAAGATAGCTTGATCTCAAGAGATGACTCATTAACACCTAAAGCTTTGAACTTCAACATGTCGGAGAATGAGTATGATGCCTCCAGTTCAGAAGATGGCATCATTTGGCCGGACGAAAACAGCTTAATTTCAGTTGAGGATATGCTAGGTCTTAACCTGCCACTCAATGGGGATTTTGTGGAAACCAGTAAGATGACATCAAATGTGGAAGCTGAAAATGGAAATAGTTCGAGATGTCTGAATGAGAAAACCCATTTTCAGCCATGTCCCCGCCCAGGAAATTACTATGTGAATTTTCCAACAAAATCGAACTACATGCCTTACATACCTGCAACAAACTACTTTACCTGTTCCAATTTTCTCCACCAATCTTGTTTCAACAATGCAAGACCTAACGAATCCTTTGTCCAGTATTCAATGTTTCAGCAGCCAAATGTCTGCCCAAGACAACAAACTCAACTTCCAGTTGACTTGCAGTTGAATCCAGAGCAAACAACCTATCTGGGCTATGGAAAACCGAATGCAGGTAATTGAAAACCACTCTACACTCTCTTGTTCAGATTTTCCAATCTCTTCTCGAGTTTCTTGCACTTGACCTCCTCTGTGTCCTCGTACCAAGGATATCAACAGCTCATTAAATTTGGAGGCACGTGTATAAGTACAAACTATCCTTTTGATTCAGAAACACGATTTCTTACAATCAGGAATTCAAAACGTAGAATCACTTATCTTATTTTCGTCCCATCTGCTATGATAAATTTTCTTTCCCAAGTAATATTATTATGATGCTCCGAATGAACATTCCTCGTACAACATATCTTAGAGTATGAGCCAAACCATAATCCATCATTCACAGATGTTTCAAGTTTGCGAAGATGTTTTGCATTAATTATAGAATGAGTTTTGAAGATATGTCCTAATTCCGGTGATTTACTGATGTAGGAGGTTTTGTGGGTAACGAAGCATCTAGCTTCTGGCATGCTCAACACTGAAGATTTTTTTTCTCCCTGTGGCTGAAGTTTTTCAAGTATTGGGTGAAGTGTCATTTTATTGTGAGTAAATCTAGCTTCGAATTTCAGCCCCAAGCAAGTGTGTACATATACATATGATCTCTTGCTTCTTAACAAATATGCATATACAGTAACACGGATTGAAACACCTTTTAGTTTAGTATGGTAACTCAGAACAACATTTTAAGTGCAATTGGCTTAGATGGCGAACAGTAAGATTGTAGAGAATGGCTGTTACGGTGAATTACTTACATGTCAAGTATTCGTCTGATAAGTTTTGCCGCGATGGTCTATGCGTATGGTAATAGGCTAATAGCTACCTGAAAATGGTGACTCTTTGTGGTGCATTTTTGTTTGGTTCAAATATTACATAAAGTATATAGAGGTGATAACTGGAAATTTTGCCTCACTTTCCATGCTTGGTTTCCTTTATAGTTAATATAGTTTCCCGACAATTCGACCCTACTCCCACACTAAGTTTTCACTGTTGGACCAACACATATGTATGTGGGTGTGCATTATCCCATAAACTAAGATTGTTGATGAGCTCTCTAGAGTGAAAGTTGATAGTGGTTGGAACACTTGAGAGTTGAGACGAACCCTATACGAGAGAACACTTCATTCTATTCAAGCACTTTTATAAGTTATAACTCATGGCAATAGTCACCTGACACGCAAAGTTCATGAATAATTTAATAGAAAAAACAGTGGACAAAAGAAGAGAAAGAAAACGGAGTCCAGTATATTGCCAACGCATTTTCCTATCAAATTGAGTCCTTTGATGAAATCCTCCAACCATATTACTTTCTTGTTTTGTTCTTCTGTTATCTTCTTTACTCCAACTTTGTTACTTCTGGTTATCTTCAACTCCCAGCCACGGAACCTGCCTTATAGTCCAAATAAGTAGACTGCAGGCACTAATGCTCACAATTGGCTTCAAGAAAATGAGATCACAAGCCCAACACATAACTCGTTGTTCACTTGTTAAAAAGGAAGAGACGATCGAACATGGTAATCAATTAGGGCTGTTATCGAACCGAACCGAACCGAGCTTAAGGTGTTCGAGCTCGAGTTCAATTAATTTTCGAACATGTTCGTGTTCGTTCGATTAGTAAACGAACAAAGAATTTTGTTCGTGTTCGTTCGTTTATTGGTTCGACACGTTCGTGTTCGTTCGTTTATCTAGTCGAACATGTTCATGAAATGTTCGAATTGTTCGACAAATTCGTGTTCGAGTTGTTCGACATGTTCGTGTTCGTGTTTTTTAACTTTTTTTTATTTATTTTAATGTCATACAAGTTATTTTGTTTATTATTTAATATCTATTCATATTTATATGTTCTATTATATATGTATATACTATATATAATATATAAAATTATAAAATATTTGTGTTTTATTTAATATTTAATATATATTCATATTTATATATTATATTATATATGTATATACTATATATAATATATAAAATTATAAAATATTTTTTTGTTCGCGAACGCTCGCGAACATGTTCGTGTTCGTTCAATAACTAAACGAGCGTAATTTTATGTTCGTGTTCGGTTCGATTGATAATCAAACGAGCTGTTATCGAACACGAACGAACTCGAACGAGCTTTGTTCGCGAACGTTCGGTTCGAAAAACAGCCCTACATGGTATATCCCTAATGATGAAAGATCAACTCAAAACTAATTCGCAAACTAATTTAGTAATTTCATAATAGTTTGACTAATATAACCCTTAAGTTGTATTGGAACATTGGGTAATTATATTGATTGACTAATATAATCTTGATTTGTTTTGAAAGCTCTCAATCGGGTCATTAAATTTTATAAAAACCTCAAATTAGCCTAATAAGTACATATATTTAATTTTAAACAATTATTGTTATTAGTATTATTTAATTTTTAAAATAATATTTTTAACAAGTACCGTGTAGTACACATGTATTGTACTAGTTTAGCATTATAACCTTTAACCGATAATATTTGATTTTCAAT